AACATTTGCGAGTTTATGCCATGGCACTTCTGTACATTGTCGAACGATGGATGGGTAACTTGGAAAAAGCACCGGCACTATTTTTCAAGTTGTCCGCGTAGTTTAGACCAACCAAATTCTTCCCTGCTATAAATTATCAACATACATAGGAAAATAAAAAATAATTGGCAGTATTAACATTGCACTAAATCTCTGTTTTCTTCACCTAAGTAGCAGTTTAATCTTAAATTAAGCCGATTATTTAACTCGAGTAAAATACACTTTAACTCCTGTAGTTAATGTTCAGCAAGGATGACAGTTGTAATTAGAATAGCAACATATGTTAAACTTAGATCAACAGGCTGTCTTCAAAATGTGCATTCATTTTAATAAAATTGTATAAAATCAGCAAAATGTATTCTCTAACCTGTTCGTGATTTCCTTAAACTTAGTTAACAAGCTAGTGGTGGCACAGGAATCCGATGTGTGCAAACGTTTATATTCTGGGCTGATGGTAGTGAAGTTCAGTTGCAGCCTAAATGCTGAAGGTTGTGACACCTTGTTACCCTGTAATACTGTCTAGGGGGCCAGGAAATGATCCCCAGGTATAGCCTGGTGTTTTCGGAGATTGCTTCTAGATGTTCAGATGAGACATCTATGATCCAGCTAGACGCAGAATCTGATTTTTTGATGAAGTTCTCGTACAGATAGAGTTTTTTGGACGTGTGAAGACAAATTCGGTAAACCTTAGCAAAGTTCTTCCACCATTCTATAGCGTCCCGAACATCAAAGATGATAATTGTTTTATTCCTTGTTTTGCGAAAAAAAAAAAAATACGTAGAAATAGCGTTGCAGAGACTTTGCGTTTTTGGTCTTGAAGTGTCAGTATAAGGGATCTTTTACTGCAGCATAAAATAGCTCTATCTTTTGGTAAATATATTATTTATTCCACAGCAGTATCGAGTATGTCTGAGTGGATTGTCCTGGTAAGCTGAGTCTTCACATGTTCTGGTGACCTGTCAGAATCTCTAAGGTCTCCCACCTCTCTTCCTCTACGTCCATCCTTCTCAACAGGACGATTCTTAATTGGTTTTCTCTTAACTATTGCTATTCAAACAAAAAAAGTATTATTTAATACTACAGGCTAATTTTTCTAAATGATCATTCCGTAATTCGTAATTAAAATGAATACAGTATATGTATTACCCTAATTTCAGTTAGCTATTAATATTTCTAATGCTAGAAAATTTTATATATTATAGAATAACTTATCAGTCCGATCATGATCCTTTTCCGCGTTTATTGCTTCGCCAGTTTTTCTCAGTAAATAAAGTTTTATAAAAGTAAGTTTACTCTAGAGTAACCGGGATGACAACATTGCAACCGAGCATAGCTATAGATTGTACCTCTAGGTCCTGTAGCTGAAGATATTTCGTGAATATTTACATTGGATGCCGCCAAGACGGGAAAATGGTTAGTAACCCTCATAGCCGTATCGAAGGGCCCGGGTTCGAAATCCGGGAAAGGCATGAATGCAATTTGTCTGTCCCTTTGTACGAGGCAACTGTGGCTCATCTATTAGGTGCCTCCATACTAAAAGGAACACCGTTTCAGGCCTCAGTAGTGACGTCTAGAGCCTCAGTAATGAAGTCTGAAGACGACAAGAGCACAAACAAGTGAGTTTGAAAACAAGTGAGTGCTTACACCGAAAAATGTCTGCTGGAAAATAAATAAGCTACAGGGTGCCAGATTGTTGCGAAAATGAGCACCAGTATTGGATCAGTGGAAAAAAAACGTACACACAAACTTGGAGATGCTAAACATCTGCTTCAAATAGAAGCCTAGAATATTGACACCAGAACGGAGAAACATTGGCTGAAATGTTTTAGAGAACTGCTCTTCTTTGATAGTTAAAATTTATTCAGGCTACTGTCAAGAACTGAAACATGGCTTCTTCACTGTGATGCAGAAACAAAGAGTGCGATGTAGAAGGATAGTGGATAACAAGTTGCTACGCCATATTTCAACAACAGGTGTTCAAAATGCTAACTTGTTTCATGCAGCCATTTCATTTCATGTAGTTTCATTGCCATAACAGTAGGACGTCCAAAAATGGAAGTGTTGCTTTCGCACACTAGTGTGAAAGCAACATTTTAATCACGTAACAGTTTTTAAACAAGCAACATTTCAAACACGCACACTAATTCAAACACGTAGAATAAACTCGGAACTAACTCCGCTACTACTCATCACGAACTTAAAACGCAGCTTAAATACTGCTTTTGAAATACACTTGGTTTTTGCATACTAAGTCATTAAAATTCACATTCCGGCAGGAAACTGAAATCAGGAGGGAAAGGAAAGTCGAATTAAAAATAATTGGTTAGAATAAAATAAGGTCTTGACAACTTTTTTTGCAACTCATATTTCGTAGGGCAATATTAAATACTTGGGTAATCATCTGACGGTAAGAATGCAGATGTATTTTGATGACACCTGTTGCAAAATGCACTGATTTAAGATTACTTTAAGTTGAATAAAAGAGGCTATGTCATCATAAGTTTGGAACCGTTTCTTTCCGAAGACATTATCGTTCTCGTAACACTACTTTCAAAACCGTAGTCCTAGGCATACATAGTGTTTTATAGTGCTTATTTTTGAGTTTTCGACAGTGAACTTAAATAGTTATTTGTTAAAACGTTAAGAATATATTTATCATGCATGATGCAATCTCTTTCCATTCGAATCGTTATTTTTATATTTATGCTATAGTCACTGAAGAGACGTGTATATAATAATTCTCAAAAACTGAGTACACGCCACTCACTCTCTTCTTTAAAGATTTGAAAGAAGTGGTTTCAATCTTTTTTAATTGTTCACATTTAGCGAAATGATAAAGTATAGATTTAAAAATACATTATAATGGAAAAAAATGTTATTTCTTATTTTAATTATGTGAGATATTTTATACGTCGAAGTTGAGAAACTAGTCACATAATTAATTGTATATGTAATATAATTTGTTAAAAGTATACACTAATATTTTGTTGCATATCGTTTAACGAGAACAATTTCCGCACGATGGGCTACTGAGGTGAAAAGAGTTTGTGTTGCTTGATTATATATTATATATATACGTTTTGTAGAAGTTTTTTTTTTGCAAGTAATTTTGCTTTTTTGAAGTGGTGTTACGAACTGTGATTCCAACTTTTCGATTAAGCTGAACTCTGGTGTGCTTCCTGGGCAATTACAATCTACGGTTACATAACGAAAAGAACCTGCCTATTTTGAATGGTCGTACCGATGAAACATAACCACAGATACTACTTTTGAGCAATTTGCTTGAGTTGCTTTTAATATGTCCATATTTATTTTGTTCGTGAATTGAAACTAATTGTTAAGCGTTGCTGACATGCAAATGCACTTCCATCTTCGTAGGCGGAATGATATTTTCGAGAAGCAGTTTACTAGTAAGCTTTCTCTAAACATGAATTTGATCATCAGACCAGAAAATATTAACTAACGCTATAATCGCTGCTTATTATTTGATTCTAGAAATTCTTAGATTTTGAAATATGATTTCTAATGCATAAGGCATTTTCTTCCTCTTGCCAGCATGACTTCGTGGTGTAACGGTAGTAGACTTTAAGCGTATTCGAGAGGTCCAGGTTCGAATCCCGGCGAGTACACTGCACATTTTTCCTGTCGCCTGCTTCAAAATAACCTAATGATTCTACAAGGGAATGAAGTCTTTTTCTCTCAATTTATCTTAGCTATGAGGGAATTTTTTATTAAGGTATGAGACCATCATAGACTGTTTTTCTCGCAATTTCTCGAGTTGTTTGGCTAAATTAGGTCTTTATATAGTTGCAAAAGTTATAGGTTTCCAGATTACAGAAAATTTATGTAGAAAATATAGCTACAGAAAATTATTTACGTTCTGTTTTTCTAATTCTCGTATGATTCTTCGCTTAGCAATAAAATTTATAATTTCATTTTTTCTTCTTCCAGGCTTATTTGCAGCTTAACCAAATCGTGTAAACTTGATGATGCATCCATCACTAAATTGGCTTTCCCATTTCCCGGGAAAATTTACTAGTTTCTGCAATTCGAATAACCAAGTTCAGAATTCAGATTCGTTTCTTTCTTAAATTTACAATGAAAGTTTTACATTTTAACTTCACTGCATCATGATATATGACCGCTGCAGAGTAACAAAATATTTATAAAAATTGTTTAAAAAATAATATTGACAAAATACCCTTTAATTAATATTAATAAAATTACCTTTTCTACGAAATATGTACGCAATTACTATATATAAATTTTATATTTTAACTTTACTGCCTCATAAGTTATGACGATTACAGAGCTACAAAATATTTATAAAAATTGATTTAAAAATTTAGTATTAATAAATTTTACTTTTATAATTAAACTAAGAAAATGTTTAATATTTCAGTTCTTATTTTAATAGTTTTTGGAAGGTGTACTTTATTGTACTCAAACTTTCAATTTCTATAACTATTCAAATTAATTGTTTTATAGAAAGTGAGTTGTGTACATTTCAACTGCATGTAATGCAATTTATTCCTGATAAACTGTTGGTTAAAATGGGTTTGCTATTTAAAAATATTTTAGATTGCGTACTATTGATGTTGGCTGTCGCCAGTGTAGTGGCTAACCAATTCATATTCCCATTCCGTATAACTGTGTTAAACATCTGAGTGTCTTAGCCCAAATCTAATGAAACTTTAAAATTTACGAAAAAACTTGTCAAAAATAACTTAAAAGAGATAAGAGTTTTTTTATAAGTTAAATTAATTAAAAAGCAGGTAACCTATTGACCAAGCAGAGAAAACCAGTGAATAATGTAACTGAAAAGACACAGGACTCATAAAAGTTAGTGTCACTTGCTGTTTTAAAAAATAAATTGATATATTATGTAGAATAAAAGTAACTCTTATATTTTCCTTATAGCACGTAAGTACTTATAATTTTGGTTAAGACATAACACTCATGTAGTCTGTGAAGTCTATGAAGCTGTATTTTGCCATTTTTAAGTACAGGAAATATAAAGCTTTGTCAATTCTATTCGAGCTTTAGAAAATGCAAATCCCTATTCTAATATCTTGTGTAAAATCTCACGTAGATATAAAAAAGTGTTTGTACTTCTCAAGAAACCGAAAAGAAAAATATGCACCATTTCCGCCCAACGCAAATTGTATAAACATTATTCCATACATGTCATACGCGTATGTGATAAACTAAAAAGCAAGTCACAGTATGTTCAACCATGTGAGAACAATCTTTACAAGACGGTTACAAAACAGTTGGACCTTACTTCGAATTCTACGCTTGACCTCCAGGCTACGAATCTTCAGAAGTTCAAACTTCCGCAGCCAAGAAATGATTCTCTGATAAATTGCTTTTGTCACAAATGGTTTACTGACCTTGGCGTCCACACCCTTACGAGCAGCCCTTATATAAAGTTTGAGTGGAACAAGGGTTGCTCAATTCTTTGTATCCTTTGACGTATATTCCTTCCTAACAATATCTCGTTATAACCGTGAATCTTGCGTTTGTTGGATAGTTGCCATACTCAAGAGAAATCTTAGTGGAAAACGCAAAGTAAGATTTCAAGATAATTCTTTATATACATTTTAATGATTTATTATGTTTGAATATAATTGTAATTACCACTGACTATTTTCAGTTCAGCTGCAAATGGATTAAAAGTAATATTTTCATCTTCGAAATGTAAGAAAAGAATGTAAGAAATACAAATCTTCTAACAGCAATTTGAATTTTTATATCATAAGGAAAATTAAATATCATTAAAAGAGTGCAATAAATTACTTGCAGGATTTGTTAAAAACATTATAATTAAATTCAGAGAAAAGGTTTCGCGTTTCCCTTCATAGTATCAGAAGTGTTCTTACAATAATATATTTGTTAGTGAAATAGTAATTTTTATGAAGAAATATATAATGGATGCAGTTTTAAAGATGTTACTATTTTTCGAATTACATTAACCACTTTTAAAAGTTAAAATTTTAAGTTTCATCAGTATGATTAACATTTTTTAATAGAGATATGCTTTCTGAAGTACATTTGTCTCACAGATGCTATTATCTTGCAGAGCCTTCGCTATATTCTTTATTAATTGTCCGATATATTTATTTTAAATGGATGATTTGGTTAGCTAAACGCTGAATGGTTTTTGAAATGGTTGATCATCACATCTGTCTTCTTCTGTTAGAAAAATTCTAGTTCACTTTTGTATTATAATTAACAATATTGACTATGTCGTTCTCCTCTTAGCAACGCAATAGGAATATTTTTAATTGGGATGAATTAAATATATCCAGGCTTATCCTTATTAAATCTACAAAATTAAAAGGCTGTAATATATGGCATGTGTTTCTACACAACATACTACTACTGTGTAAATATTACTGAATGTCTTTTAATGTTATGTTATCTTTCAAAGTATCTTTAAGAGGCCATTAAATCGTGTTTTAAAGCAAGAGAAATATTAACTTGTTGAAGGTCAACAAAAGAATCTTGAACTATCAGAAATTTCATCAATGATGTTTAAAGTGTATATATTAAATATATGAGTAATAAAATTTATATAATAAATAAAAAGCAGTTTGCGTCTCTTTCAATCTTGCTGGATATCAGAGAAAATACGAAGTGCGGAATTTTTAGATACCAGAAATCAGAGCCCAAGGATTCGATGAGTAATTTATTTTGTCTACGTGTTTCGATTTGTAAATTTTTCAAAGACAGCTTTTCTCGTTTTAGATACTTTATTCTATTGCAGTATATATAATTTGAGGTATTATTTAACTTTTGAAAGCATTCTAAGAGAGAAATATTATATGTTTCAATGAATAAAATGCATTTACTAATTGGGGGGGGGGGAAGAATGTGTCTAATTCGGGTTTTAGGTAACCTGGTTCCAACTGAACAAAGCTATATGAGGTAAAACGATAAAGTTAACAATAATAATAACAAAATGTGGTAATAATAACTTATATGGTAATAATAATAATAATGAATAGTATATAACAATACTTGCTTGATAATATAATAATAATAATAATAATAATAATAATAATAATAATAATAATAATGCAGTAATTATAGTATACTGTAAAACTAAAAATGAAAACAAAAATATAAAATGTAATAACAGTACAGAATTTATACAATGACGTAGATAAATATCTAATATAATGAATATGCGCTGTAAATATTGCCTAAATAAAAATAATATTATTATATTAAATTACAGAAACTATTGCGCTCGCTCTTATAGTTCAAATAAACAAAATTATAAAAACAAATTCCTAATAAGTTTAGATAAAAGATAGAAGAAATTTTCGTAAGATCGGCATGACCGCTTTCAATTGCTCGTAGGATTAGTTGTCAATTGGTGTATATTACCTTGTTATTTAAAGCGTTCTCTTTTCTTGCTTTCTGTAATGATCTAAATATCGTCTTAATAAATGAAAGGTTATAAAAAGAACTATTTAAAGGATTATTATTATTATTGAAAGTAGCCAGTTATTTATAATTTCCACTTTGCTATCACTTCTCCTTTCCGGTTCCTCATCAGAATGCAAATAAGTTTAAAAGTATTTAAGTCGAATGTTTGGGATTGTAAGAGAGAGAGTGTTTCTGCCTCTCTAGGCCACGTTGTTAAGTTTAGCTAGCTCTGATAAGATTGTAATTCTTCGCGTTATTGCTGCCGACATTTAAATTGTTACGCCGGTGAGAAGTTTCGAGCCAACTTCGCTTTGAATGAGTTAGACTTCTAAACGTTTAAATTTGAATTTGACTGTTACTTTAAGTTGAATAGCCACTAGTGGTGGTTGATTTGTAAACAAGAGACGTGCATTTTATATTCAAATTCTGTTGTTGTAAAACCGTTGTTGTAAACCTTTCCAAGGCTGTTGTTACTTCAGACGTATAGCGATAGTTCGCTACAAGTCTGTTACGAGTTTGATATTAGTTTATGCTACCAAAGGGAGTCAAACTCCGCATTAAAATAAGTATTTATACAAATCTACTTAACACATGCTTTTTTAATACAGTTCTTCATGGCTAGATCCAAAAAGCCATTCCGTAAAGACAGCTAACATATGAATATTAACCTAATGTTTTCCCAGTACGTTATTTAAAGAAATAACAAGAACATTTATCGAATGACTATGATCACAATGGTTTTGAGAATCAGAATTTTATTTGTAAAAGATAAAATACAGACAAAATGTAAAGATAATATACGAACCTGCAGAATGAAATAGAAAACTTCCAGAGAAAAATGGTGACGTTGTGTGAAAGTGATACATAAAAGATCGAACTGATTATTCTCTAGCAAAAAGATGTTGGACCTGAAAAACACTTTTACCATAAGATTTGCTTGCATAAGAAGACATTGATTCCCAAATTATGAATTTAATTATAAATTATCCTTACAGAAAACAACGGAGGCCCTTTCGTAAGCGCAGAACACAGAGAAGTGCTTATCCGTAACCCGAAGATTTTACGGTATTTGTATTATAAGGAAATATACATGTGAGTAATTAAATAATAATTTTCATATTATTCTGTACAGCCAAATAGTATCATAAATAAATATCTCAGTGATTCATCATCTATGTTAATAACAATATTAATAATTTTTGGATTATTATTTCCTAATAAAAACAGTGATAAAATTGTTGTACTGAAGAGGTAATTTCATTAGCTAAACTTTAAGCAATGAAACATATACCAATTATTATTTTTTTCCTTGTATTTAAAATCCGACATTCGAAAGAAAGTTAGAACTGAAACGTCCATGAAGTTCATCTTTCGCTCTTGTCTAAATATATTTTTGGCGATTTTAATGCGAATTCTGTTGCATGCGGAAATATTATATAGATGAAATTACATTCTTTAGTTATTCTGGACAAGGAAGGAAAAATATAACTTTCATTATATTAAATTTCAATATTTTTTTTGCATTTGATGTAAAGTTTAAAAGCTATTGATCCATACATAATTAAAGGATTTCAGCAGCTCTTTTAGCTCGAAACTCTGAGTAATTTGTAGTTATAATTGAACACTCAATCATAGGAATTCATTCAAAGGAAAAAACTTCTTCATCTTTCGTATGAAATTCCCTTCAAAAAACTCTCTATTAATAAAACAACAATTTTGTACTTGACACAGCACATAAACATATGCAATGCATTAAAAACACAAGCAAATGATTTTCTGTTTAATATGAATGTTTTAAACATTAAAGTCCGTTTAGGTGTACTTTTAAGTGAAGAAGATATTATAGTCATGCTCAAGAAAATAGCCCATTAAAAAGTTATTAAAGAAGTACTTAAAAACAAGTAATAATCTTCGGGAAAATATTTATTAACATGTAATGTTGCGCGCTTCCAACCTGCACGCAACAATAGTGGTGACTGCTGAGAACTGGAAATAGACCAAAGTCTTGAGAAGGGTTTAAATCCCTTTTTATTCAACTTTAGAAATTACAAATGCGTGCTCTTGACGCTCACAAACTACGCCGACCCGGCGGTAAAATAAAAATAAGAAACTAAGAAAAGAATAGTAACAAGTGACTAACTACGAGGCTCTCTAAACGTAACTAACCTCACCGCGTTCTGAGATACCGCTGATAATTCAGCAAACTTCTGAATATTACTTTGAAAAATTAACAAACTGCCGAGGCAAGCACACAAGCCGAAACGCGTGGTTCTTCAATTTCTAACTAGCCACCTCCACGCTCGTGAAGCAAGAAAGCACACCTTCGAACTCGTTTCCCTCCTATTTAACTCAGAATACTTCCGCTGACAATATACCGCCTCGCGTACCCTTTTTAAAGTCTTTCTGACCCCTAAATGACCCGCTGTTTTCGCGTCGTGTAATTCCTTCAAAATGCTTAATCGAAGCGAGGCTGGGATGACTGGTTTGTACTCGAGATTTTCGTTTGTTGTTTTCGTATAAAATAATAAATTATCTATTATTTCATAGTTTTCTGCTCTATTTCTTATCGCATCGATATCTGTGTGCTCAAAGATTTCGGGGTCTTTCAAATATGCATAGATACTTCCAAATTCAGGATCAGCTTTCAATTCAGCAATAATTGTATCTCTAGAATCTAAAATTTTTTAAGTCAACACAGCGCATTTAAGTTCACTGCCTTCATCGTCCAGTTTTATACGAGAAAGTGAGTCAGCTACATTGTTTTCCTTACCCGGTTTATATTTGATTATTAGATTATATTCTTTGAATTTTAAAGCCCATCTTATTAACCTGGGCGTTAGGTTTTTTCCCCGAGTAAAGTCTACCAACAGCCGCATGATCCGAAAAGACTGTTACTGGCGCTTTGCCGAAATAAACTCGAAATTTGTGTACAGCCATTAATACGGCTGATGTTTCTCTCTCTGTAGCTGTGTAATTCCTTTGTGTATGATTCAACGTTTTACTAAAATATGCCAAAGGATGGCCATTTTGCATAAGAACCGCACCCACAGCATAGTCCGACGCATCTGCTGCAATTTCCAGGTTTTCGTCCCCCTCCGGGAATTTCAAAACAGGGGCATTGATAAGCAACCTTTCGAATGCGGTATTTGCTTTTGCTGTCCACGTGAATTTACTTTTCTTTCTTTTAATTACTAACAAGGGTTCAACAATATTAGCAAAATCTTTTATGAATGACCGATAATAAGAACATAACCCAAGGAAAGAAGAAAGTTTCTTGGCGGTGTTGGGAGGTGGGAAATTCTTGATTGCTTTTATTTTTGAATCTTGAGTTTCTATACCCTTTTGAGAAATTTTATAACCCAGATATTTAAGTTCTTTAGTTGCGAACTTGCATTTTGAGGCGTTAATTGTAAGACCGGCCTCTTTTAATAATTTCAAAACTTCTTCTAGATCTTTAATATGTTGTTCAAACGTACTACTCGTTATAATTATATCATCTAGATAGATTAAAGTCGATTTTCCTAGGACAGGCTTTAGAACAATGTCCATAGCTCTCTGGAATGTTGATGGGGCCCCACACAACTCAAAGGGCATGAGTAAAAATGCATAAGTGCGCGATTTTGTTATAAACGCGGTTTTATGTATGTCTTCGGGTCTCATAGCTATTTGATAATAGCCAGACGTTAAGTCCAAAGTAGTCATGTATCTTGTAGATTTAATCTTTCTAATAATTTCCTCTATAACCGGCAAAGGGTAAACTGGGAATTTAGTAATACTATTAAGTTTTCTGTAATCGATAGCAAACCTCCAAGTCCTTTTATCCGAAGGAGGAAACTCGTTCTTTTTCCTACATAGTACGACTGGACTCGCGTACTCACTATTTATGGGCGTTATTATTTTGTTCTTTAACATTTCCTGAATATGTTCTTCTATGATTAGCTCTTTCTGTTTATCATAGCGATAAGGTTTAGTTTTACAGGGTTTGTCGGCAGTTAACTGTATCTCATGCGTAACTATTTGACAGCTACCAGGACGTTCTGAAAACAAGTTTGAAAAAGTACTCACCACTTGCTGGATGGCTTGACTTTCATGGTCATTCAAATGGCTAAGGTCGACTTGCGGTTGTTCCACTGGTTCCACCACCCTCCGGTCCATCTCCAGCACAATAGAACTGTCCTGAAAATTCAGTTTGGCCTTCGCGGCTTTTAAAAACTCCATACCTAAAATAAGTGGATTTTGCAAATTTTTTACTACAAAAATTAATACTTTAAGGCTTTCATTTTGGACCTGTATCTTTAAAGATAGTTTTCCGATACATTGACAAGTTTGTCCTTGCGCTGCTATGATTTCTGTGTTTTTATTTTTAAATAATCGAAACCTATTCCTAAAAAGTTCTTCTTAAAAAAATATCACCCATAAAATTACCTTCTGCTCCTGTATCGATGAGGGCTTCTACTGGTACATTGCCAACCAGGACTTGTATAATTGGTAACTGTGAGTTCCTTACGATGACCGTATTTAAGTGTCTTTTTGAGGGTTTTTTCAAAACTTCCGGGGTCTGGACCCTCGCTTTCACAGGCCCCTCTACTCGTTTAAAGCTTTCCTTTTCAACTTCTGCCTTCTGGGTACGCGGACGTTTTTTTTTTTTCAAATTTCCTTTTTGTGCCTTGACCTTCGAGCTTCGATGAGTTAGCTTGATAGCTCTTTCCCCCAAAAGAGCGGTTTGCATTTCTCATGAACGTTTGTGTTTCCGGTCTGTTGATTTGAGAATTGCCTTCGGATACTTTGAGAATACGATGCCCCTCTAGCTTTTCCCGCTATTCTGCGATTTTGAAACTTGACCGCCAATTCGAAGAGCTCCTGCAATGTGCTTGGGTTTCTAATTTCGAAAAAGTCTTGAACAGCAGGTAACAATCTTGGTAAGATTATTTCAATAATTTCCGCGTCGGGTTTCTTCCCGTACAGCATATCCGTCAGCTTAATTTTTCGCAGAATGAAGTCCGTCAACTCTTCTATATCCCGTTGGAAAAAACTATATAGTTCGGCTTCTAGCCTTGTTCGATCTTTCACTATGGGGAAGGCCTTTAATCACGATTTTTTGAAATTTTCAAATGTATATGTCTGGCCTCCGAATTCCCGTAATAAAAATTTGCCTATATTCTTCCACCATAGCGCGGCCTGTCCTCTTAGTGCAGATGGGGCGATGGCAACTTTTTGTCTTTCAGGCACAGGGTAGAGCTGGAAGTGATTGTCGAGGCTTTCCAGAAATATCGCCACCGAATTTTTTTCGTCGAAATTGACGTTTGGCTTGATTGACGCTCTCAACGTCTGGACCAGATATTCAAATCTTTCCAATTGGCTTGCCATTTCTTGTTGTTGTCCCGCAGCTTCCATCCAATTTTCGGCCATTTCAGTTTGACAAGTGTTCGGGCGCCAATGTAAAGTTGCGCGCTTCCAACCTGCACGCAACAATAGTGGTGACTGCTGAGAACTGGAAATAGACCAAAGTCTTGAGAAGGGTTTAAATCCCTTTTTATTCAACTTTAGAAATTACAAATGCGTGCTCTTGACGCTCACAAACTACGCCGACCCGGCGGTAAAATAAAAATAAGAAACTAAGAAAAGAATAGTAACAAGTGACTAACTACGAGGCTCTCTAAACGTAACTAACCTCACCGCGTTCTGAGATACCGCTGATAATTCAGCAAACTTCTGAATATTACTTGAAAAATTAACAACTGCCGAGGCAAGCACACAAGCCGAAACGCGTGGTTCTTCAAATTTCTAACTAGCCACCTCCACACTCGTGAAGCAAGAAAGCACACCTTCGAACTCGTTTCCCTCCTATTTAACGCAGAATACTTCCGCTGACAATTTGGATCCTTGCGCGTTCTACTAAAATTTACATACTCTGGCATTGGCAATTCCAGGGGAAAGTAAGGCTTGACAGGAAAGATAATTTAAACTTAAAATAAATGTTAGTTAAAATAAATATAAACCCTACAAACATACGGAAGAACAGCTTTTACTTTCTTCGAGGCCCAAAATCATGAAAATGAGTTATCATGAACTTTTATATAACAAATTCATTTCAATAGAATATATGTCACTAAAAAACTATAACACTAATCGATTTTCACGAATACGTTTTAGATTAAACTTTCTGAAGTAGGCTACCATTGTTTATTAATAGCATGCATCACTCTTAGAAGTTTTAATAATTATTTAATGATAAATTCCTTCTATCTGTAGAATTTGAAGATGCAGTCACAAAAATATTTCATCCAAGATATTACCATGGCCTTCATTTTTCTTTTTGCACTGTGTCATTCACCATCTCAAGCCGGGCTCACAGATCCAGTACAAACTGCGACGGTGGATCACATGATCAATTCATTCAAAGCACCTATAATCAATGATAACACATCCCTCATACCCTCTGGAAAAAAGGAACCCAGACAAGGTTTTATTCCAGGAACCTTCGGCGGTGGTAACCACTTTGCAACTTTAGCCAATATGGCTAATCTCGGCGGATTCGGTTCCATGGCATCCTTGGGTAGTTTAAGAACTGTTATGATGGGAGGCATGCTATACGGACTCAGCCTCATTCCAGCTGTTGTTTTAGCTCTGGGAGGTAGCGGTTTACCAATGAGCGGTGTACTTTCTTCTCTTGGCTTAAGCAAACGGGCATTGCCAGAGACCAGCTCAGCTAAGATGCCCCTTCTGACAGAATCTGAAACAAGAAGATTACTGCAGATGCTTCAGTCTGCCTTTAAACAATGGAACATTGCAGATGAAAATTGCAAGCAATTGTTTGTGTGCCAAATGTACCGTCAGGTCTCGAGTAATGGAGTTACACCCGACTTAGAATTGTTCAAAGAAGCTTTATTGCACATACTGGAGTAAGTACCTTTTGAATATTTAAAGAATATTATGTAATGATTATAATTTGCATTACAGCATACGCAGAATTAAAAGTATATTATTAACTTCATTATTAACTCTGTTATTTCTACTTTGAAAAGAGCTTGAAATTTCAAACCTGCAGTTGGAAATAAAAGGGAAACATAAAGTATATTTTTCCTTTTTTAATATGGATACATGAATACTATGGTACATTAATTTAATAGATAGTATAATAAAAAAGCTGCGAAAATCATTAATATTAAACTACTTTTTGTTAGCTGACGCTTTTTAACTTAAGTACAGTTTTGAAAGTTTGTTTATCTAAATGTTTCTGAGAAATATTTCTAGGGAGTCCAAAACATGCTTGCGTGAATCCTTTAAACAATTATATGCTTATGTAATTAAAATTTAGGCAAATTATACAGAATAAAGAAAATTTAGATAGCTATAATTAAAATAAAATTATGTGGGGAAACAATTATATCATATCATTGCCGTTGAATGCATATATTATTTATTGTTATTTACAGGAAGAAGTCAACCTTCTCATATCAGTGTCTATATTATGTAATTGCTTTTCATAGGAAATCTTAATTGAAATCGGTCTTTATTAATAATATTTTATAATTTTTTAAGTTGATTTTTTTCTCATTCTGTTCAAAATAAAGCAATTCTATTTCCGTCTATTTTTCTGAAGACAATATTGTTGTAAGCAATTTTTTTACTTATTCGAGATGGTATCACCAGAATTTGTTATATTTTTAGTTGTACAGATTATATGGATTCAATTATATAGCAGGTAATTCTAATTTAAATACAGAATGAAGTTACTACTCGACTAACATACTAAATTCGTTTTACGTCATTGTAAATGAATCTCTTTCTATAATGTAGAAACAAATAATTTTTTTTTTTTTTTTTGGTTTCATTTCACATAATTAAATTTTTGAAAACTTGACCTATTCCCCTTTTCGGGAATTATCCTTCTTCCTATGTTAGGAATATATTTGCAGAAAATTAACCTTCATAGGGATATTTTAATTCGCAGGAATAAAATATTATGAATGTGGGGGAATCCTGAGGGAATGAGTTCCTGGTAAAGCATGCTATTTAAATTAAGCATCTATTGTTTTCGCAAATTTAAATTAAGAATTTGGTGTGTATTTAAACTAGAATTCCACTAAATATTTAGAACAGCTATTTTTAAGACCTAATTCCTACTAATATTCTCGAGAAAGCGAAATTCCTCATAAATAAGCTATGTCTAATTTCTATAATAGTATTTTTTTCTCATATATTTCAGCAAAGTAATATTTAAATTTTACTATATTCAAAGAATTAATTTTATTCCAAGTCATTGAGAATAGAAGCAAAAGCATTTGTTAAAAAATATAAAATCTGTAGGATTAAAAACAAATTTTGATCTAATGCATGTAAATTTCAGTTTACCATCTTAACTTTTAAGCAGTTGTAATAGGCCTTTACTATTTTACAAATGAGTCATCATAAATTAAAGAAATAGATTATAAAATCTTAACATTTTTGCTATGGCGTTATTTCATTTTAAATGGAAGTCATATGGGGTCTTAAGCTCTTATTTAATTTTTTAAATCTTGAAAATGTAGTTGAGCAATTATTTCACTGGAGCGCTCGCGCAGGATGTTTATAATACTACTTTTGTCATGTGACAGTATTTCCTAATTAGTCACGATGAAAAATCCTCGAACTGAAAAAGATACACGGTTCGAAGCTGTTTACATCAAAGGTGTTTTTAAGTATTTTCAATTAGGTGATATCAAAATATTATTTGGTATAAATATTTGCAAATGGCATTTAATCGAACATTTTAGTATTTTATATTTCGAATACTCTAAAAGTTATACACCATTTTGTGTTTAGACGCGGTGGACAACGTCGAGCCGGGCGAGCTGCTGAACATCTTTTAGCCGAATACGAGCATTACTTCGCAGCTGCCAGAATGGGTATGGACCAAGATGAATGTGAAACTCACTATCCTGAATGCAGCCTTAGTCTTTATCCTTCAAATGATGGATTCAGGAAAAAGGGAACGATAGCCAAGAAATCTTCCAAAGAATCCGATGATGTTACTTCAACCAACAGTGAAACTCCTAACAAGGAATCGACTATGAAAAAGGGATCTATGTAGACATTTGATATCCTCGGTATACAGTTTTCTAACGGATTTGAAAAGAACGCATTGTGGGTTTATTATACACGGGGGTATAGGCATTGGAAAAGAGTAACTGATCATCTTATATTTTATCATAAATTTCTGCCTAGGTATAATTCTAGACTTTACTTAAGGAATAATAGTAAAAACGGATATTGCCATTAAGTTGTTATTCCTTAAGTAAATGAGAATTTCGCACGTTATGTCGGGTGTTAAAGGTAGAATAAATTAAATAACTGTGTTTTTATGAGCTTGTTTGTATGGCAAAATATTGTAATTAAAATGAAAATTGGATACATATTTCACTTAATATTTCTTAAACATTCTATGTTTCACTTAAGTTATTATTGTATTTTGTATCATTTATTTATTTGTCATAAAATATTAAAACTTTCGTAAATTATATAAATAATGATTTCTTTTACTTTGTAAAATAGACCTGAATTGAAAGAAAGAAATGTAGAATATTAAAAAAAACTCTTTCCTAAACGTCATTGGAAATTTCTAAATGGTATTCTTCAGCAAGACGTTTGATAAATGACACAAAACTACAATTTATCTATTCATATCTTTAACATGCTTTCGAATCCTAGCTACTAATTTCACTTATGTAGAATCATTTTTTAAAGTTCTATCGAAATGGAAAGTTTCAGGTGTATTAAATTATAGCAGCATCCTTGCTTCATCAAAGGAATATCGCTAAAGTTATTCTGTAGTAACCGGTATTGTTAATCACTTAATTTTAGACATTAGCCAAATCCTTATATAGGATAGTTATTTCAATTTTGGTGTGGAGCTTAGTGTATATTCAAAAAACAGAAATGATAATGAAACCTTATTATCTAACAATTTTATGCAACTTCGTACTTGCGTGCACTTCACATATCAAAACGTTGATTTGAAGAGCTGAAAGAAGAAGTGAGAGAGACAAAATGACTACGTTATCAAACTTTTTACCAAAATACTTAGCCTAATAAGTCCATTTTTGCTTGAAATAAAATGACCTGCAATATAGGTCCCCGTAATCTCTAACATAATGCTAATCAAATCCAAAGTGTAATTAAGTTTAAAACTTTTGCAACAGATGGGTAAATGCAACAGATGCGTTAGGCAAAATATGGAAACTTAGGAACTCGAAAGTGATTTGGTTATTTAATCTTCAGAAGGAATCTATGTATCTTGGCTTCATTATTAATGCGTGTATGTATAACAATTTTAGATCATTAATACGTAGATTTTATCACCCTTTTTAAAATATACATGCTTTCCAATTGCATATGTTTATATCTGCTTATTTTAATATCCTTTGAAGGAAAAAAAACGGTTATCGAAAGGTAACTGCTGGTTAAAAGTACGACATTATTCCTCCAAGAATGCTATCTTAAATCAGTGTAGGCTTGAAGACATTTTTTGAAGGATAGAACAGGACTTGAAGCTCTCTTCTATACAACTCTTCATATATATGCGCAATTTTACTCCTGTAGAAGAGGGAAACTATGTCAGATCTTCGAAAGTAATAGAGTTAGTTGTATTCACATCAATATAAGTGTGTTCCTTTGTCTAACTGTAATTTTCCCATTCGTATGTTTCTTACGATTATATTATCAGGGATTGTAATACACTAAGAAGCAAAATGAAATACTCATTTTCTAATTTCTAATCAGTAATATTCATTTTCTCATTAATTACCTATTTAAAAATTATCTTCTCACCTTATACGGCCAATAAGGGAGCATATTACCTTAAACAGAAAAATTCTATTCCTTTATTTACTTATTCAAATTAAATACATTCTGTTAAATTCTTCATGCTTCTAGGTAATGAACTAGGAAAATATTTACGATAAGATCATTTCATTGAAAAACATTTCTTTGAAAGCCTTTAAATCAACATGCTAAGAGTTTTCCACCATTCACTTTAACGTAATTAGATCCATAAATGTTTTGATAGATGTGGTTCATTAAGAAAAAGAAGAGAGGGCATATTTCAGGTATTTTATTGGAAACAATCAAAAATAAAATTATTTTAATAGCTTAAATTCCATGTCGATTATAATTTAAATCCTTCTTATTCACATAGTCCTGATACAAATGGATAAAAAACAAATTTAGAAGTCTTGAAACAAACACATAAGAATTTTCAGTTCTTTAGCTTTCTATTAGAGATCACACGAGAGGGTAGCTGGCTTGTGTAGCAATACCACATTGGTTATTCTTGTTCCTGGACATTTTGATGTAGCCATTTTCTCCCCAAGATGTACCCCAGCTGAAAGAAATTTAATTATTAGGAAAACTAGTAGAGTAATTTTTAAAAATAATAAGGCATAAATAATTATATACTTCGCGCAAACTAAGTTGTAGATAAATTAAAGATACTTATATATACAAGAACATTTCATAAACACTATTTTTCATGTATTAATCGTTATATGATATGTATGGAAGGTAAGTTAAAGCCGAAGATATTAAAAAAATAATCACATTTGTAATTAGAAACTGAATTTTCTATGTGAAGAAAAGATAAAATAAAAATGCATTATAGGAAAAAAAAATGTGCAGAATTAAAGACATTTATTTTGAAATTCAGCAGTCATATAAAATTTCGGTTACTTTCTTCTATTTAGATTTGCTATTTTTTATAGTAAAGTAAACTAGTATTTTAAGTTATTTGAACCATTAAAGAGAAGTATTGTAGTTTGATTTGTTTTAATTCATCTAAAATTTCGATACATTTCTTTAAATAAAATGTAATTTCACTCGTTAGTAGTTTTAACGCAATATAGCTTCGCTTGGCATTTGAACATTAGTCATTCACATTATTTACACTTCTCATTATGAGAAATGACTTTACGTTAAAAAAATCTGCGTTAGAAGTAATCATAAATCTTTCCATCTCTTTCTGTTTTCTCCTACCTATTCTTTGCAACTGAGTAGCTTCATGAACATTCAAATCATTAAAGCACATTAAAGCACAATGCATTTCTATATGGGTGAATGAGTTTTCAATGACATATTTAGGATGATGGAACGTACATAAATTTAAAATGATTAAAATACAAAAGAGCACTGTACTTAGCAAATAACTATGTAAAAGTCCGTCATAAGCAGTCTTTAATAACGACGTCATTCTCTTTTTGTTTTGTGACTTCTAAGAATTATAAGCATTATTTTAGTTTATCAAAATGTTTATGCTATAACAATCGACGATCTGAAACGGCGATAGAATTAAATCCCCGATTTGGGTGTTTTATGCTTATTTCTAGACTTAGTATTATTCCATGCTTTAGTTGGTGCAGCAGAGTGATCAAATTCTAAAAATGAGCACCAGAAGTCAAATTGATCCCATTTCCTTCTTTATTAACATAAAAAGCTTTTGCTTTAATTCTCTAAAGTGCGCGGCCATTTTTATTTTTTCATTTATTTCCACGTTTTATAAACTGCATTTTTCCTCAAATAGTTCATAATTTCAAGATAAATTTAACGTTCTAAATTGATACTAATTCTTAACTTCTTCAAGCATCTTTAAAATCGCAATCTTTCACTACTCTACATCTAACAAGGATATTTATCGATTGTTGACGTTTATGGCAAAATGCAAGAAGTGTAGAGATATATGTACTATCAAGTGCATGTAAATTCCGAGTGATTATACTATTATTATAAAGAATACTAGCGTTAGTTATAGCTATGTTTATTCAGTGTTTGCGAGTTAGACTATTGGGTGTTGAATCGCCAGATAAAAGGAAAGGCCAAATTCGGCAAATTAGTTGTACAGAAAATATGTGAAAAGTATATATTTTTAGAATAGATGCAATAACTTTTCTTATATACGTAAAGAGAAACCAGCTCTTTTCCTTGACATAAATAAATAACATAAAGGAGAGAAGGCTTTACAGCAAATTAAAAAAAAATTAGTTATTTACCTGTTTTTGACGAGCCAGTAATCAACGCCATTTTCAGAACCATAGCCGATAGCCAAGACACCGTGATCTAGGAACATACTACTACATGCAGGTTCGTTGTATATACCTCCCCTGAAAAATTAAGTAGAATATTAGTCACAAGAGAGTTACTTGCTAAAATACTTTAAAATTTGTCTTGAGAAGATAAAATAAAAATAAATTTATATAATTGTTAATTGGGCTCAGACGATAATTCTGTAGCTGATTACATAATATATGAGAATATAAAATAAGTTTTAAATTATAATACTGGTGCAAATATTTATAAAAATTATCAATTACTTATATTATACAGTATATTACTGAAAATTAAAGATGCAAACCATTCAGAAGTACGCTCACTGTTTTTAATTTGCTCTAAATTTAATAAATACTTAATGTGCAATTTAAAATAAACAACAAATAGTTCCACGTAAGAATTAGCACACATAAAGATGGAAATATCCCTTTGGAGTTAATCCAATATTATCAAAGCTTTACTGTTACAAAAAACACAGCGAAAGGTGAAGTGCTTCATGAACAAGTTGGTAGTCAAAGTGATTCAAATTCGATTTCATATTCTAGCTTGCACATGAAACATTTCAAAGCCCGCTGCGTTATTGTAACAACGAATGAAAAATGTTGGACTAGTTTCAACGGAACTACAGACACGTATATCTTTATTTGCCACATTTTACGCTAAATTACGTTTTGCTTATTTTTATTAAATGTCGCATGTAATGGTTTGAGTAAATAAACATCTGATAATTTTTCTTCTAGGCAGAGATTAGTTTTTCAGAAATGAAAGAAAAGGCAATTTTTTTCAGCTTCACAAAGTGCACAACAAAAACTAATTTAATAAACACCAAAAGAATTAGAATTCGTTATCATTTAATTCCGTTTACTCTGCTTCAAAACGGTAAAATAAAAACTGCTTTAATAAACACCAAAAGAATTTGAATTAGTTATTCTTTACTTCCATTAATAATAAAATGTATGTAGAATTTGACTTAATTCACAGCATGAGAGCACGAAGTAATATTTAAATGGTTTATTTAATAGAAAGAAATAAAAGTATATAAAGAAAAGTATATAAAGATGAAGTTAACGGTATGCAGGATTAACATAATGATGCAACAACAGTCCTTTTATAAACTCTTGAAGACGTGTGAGCCGTCTGCTCACGTCTGCCCTCCACTCTCGACCAGGTCTCAGCGCTGTCTGGGATGATTCTTACTGCGCTGGGTGATGCTGTACTGATGACGTCATAACGGGCAATTCTCATTCAGCATTGGACGGTATGATTTCCCACAGCTTCGGCCAGCCTGAAGAGGCATTGTCCTCGATGTCTGTTGAATAGACATCACTATCATCATGTACCTGCAAAGATAATAAAAAAAAAAAAAAAGAAAGAGAGAGAAAGAGTATCAGGTCCTTAGGTTTTGAGCTGATACAAGCATCAATCAATTTGACCATGGCTTCATATGGTCAGCCGCAGTAGATGTCAAATTTGGTCCTTCATGGCATCCTACTTTCTCGACTTCATATCTGTCATTTGATCGAACAGCTATGATTTTATACGGTCCATGAAACTTAGGTCGTAGTTTCAAACCAGTCCCATATTGAGTTCTCTGAATGGCTACCAAGTCGCCAATCTTGTATAGTTTCGGTTTCTTACGTTTCTTGTTGAATTGTTTACGATTCTCTTCTTGTATCTTCAAAATGTTGTTTTTCGCATCTTCTCTCATTTCATCACGTTCTTGCATCAATTGTTTTAGATATTCTTCATTCAATATCTCACTAATTCTCAAATCTTCTTTATTCTTCATTTTCGTGCCTATGAGAAGCTCAAACGGTGAATATTTCGTACTTCTCGTAGTTGTACTGTTGATTATTCTCTGAACATCTGAAACATATTTAAACCATTTCGTTGAATCTTCATGTGATAATTTTGACAAAACAGGAATCAAAATTCTATGAATTCGCTCAATTTGTCCGTTACCTCTTGGAATACCGGTAGTAATTTTGACATGTTCTATTCCTTCTTCAGTACAATAAGCTAAAAATTCTTTCGATGCAAAGGCACTACCTCGATCTGAAATGATTCTGGCTGGATTTCCAAATACAGTCTGTTGTTGCTTCAATTTTGAAATAACTTCTTGTGTAGTTGGTGATTTCACTGGATAGAACCAAGTAAATTTCGTAAAAGCGTCGACAACAGTTAGAATGTGTTGGTATCTCTTGTTCGTCGATGGAAGAGGTCCAATAAAGTCGATATGATACGTACTCAAAGGAACGTTTTCTTTTGGTACAGGATGAAGAAATCCTTCTGCTTTTCCTTGCTTCTTGTTGTACAGTATACATTCTATACAGTTAGCAATTACTTTTTCAACTTTGCATTTCAGTCTGGGAATATAGAATTCTTGCTCTACAGCATTCACAGTTTTATCTACAGCAAAGTGACCTTTTTTATGTACCTTCTGTATGATTTCATTCTGTAAGGATTCTGGCACTACTAGAAGATCTTTACCATTTTCAAATTTGTACAAAATATCATTTCTCACGAAGAATCCATTTTCTTCTCCCTTCTCAACTAAATTCTTGATTAATTTCACATGTTCATCTTCATTCTGTTGTTGTACTAACCGAATCTTCTCAGTTACATCGGATGTGTATGATGTTAAAATTAAAGCATTTCTACTTAAAGCATCAGCATGTTTCATTTGGCTTCCTGAACGATGTACAATTTCGTAATCGAATTCTTCAATAAACATTGCCCATCTCGCAATTTTAGGAGTTAAATCTTTCTTATCTAAAGTTTTCTGAAAAGCACTACAATCAGTTACAATTTTGAATTTAGTCCCTAACAAATAGTTTCGAAATTTCTTCAGAGCTTCTATTACTGCAAGGGCTTCTAATTCGTAACTACAGAGTTTCTCTTGCTGCAATGAAGTCTTCTTACTCATATACTGGATTGGGTGATAATTACCATCATCAGACAATTGGAGTAATACCGCACCAAAGCCTTGACTACTAGCATCAGTATGAAGTTCTAATGGATATCCTTGCCTAAATATGTGTAGAACAGGTGCCTGAGAGAGAATTTCTTTTAATCTGCAAAAAGCTTCCTGTTGTTCGGAATCGAACTTAAAACCAATACCTTTTCCAAGTAAGTCACTAAGAGGTTTAGCTATTTTAGCATACTGAGGAATGAATTTACGAAAATATCCCGTTAGTCCTAAAAAGCTTTGTAGTTGTTTACAGTTACGCGGTTGTGGAAAGTTTCGAACAGCAGCAGTTTTGGAAGGTGATGGTCGAATAGTTCCGTTTTCAATTACATGTCCCAAAAATTCAATTTTACGTTTTAAGAATTGGCACTTTTTGAAATTTATTTGTAATCCATACTCCGAAGCAGTTTTGAATACTCTTTCTAATTTGTCTAAACATTCAACTTCATCATTAGCCGGTATGACTATATCATCCATATAAATAATTAGTACACCTTCATTTAGCAAGTCACGAAATACTGAATAAATGTACCTTTGAAAAACATTTGGACTAATACATAAACCAAAAGGAGCTTTAAGAAATTCGTAAATACCATTATGTGTTACAAATGCGGTATATTTGGTGCAATTTTCGTCTATGTCTACATGGAAAAAGCCATTTCTCAAATCTAGTGTCGTGAAGACTTTGGACTGTTCTAAGCGATCAAGTACTTCCGGAATTAAAGGTAGTGGAAATTTGTCTTTAATAATCTTCTTATTTAATTTCCGATAGTCCACGCATAAACGTTTCGAATTATTACGCTTGTTACACAAAACAATAGGCGCCGAATAATTAGAATTGCTAGGCTTTATTATGCCCTCTTTCAACCATTCCTTAATTTGATCGTCAACAATTTTTTGTTCCGCGAAAAGACATGTATCTTCTATTTTGACAGACAGGAATATCATCGCATAAATTTATTTGCATCTTGAAGTCAGATTGTCTATTTTTCCGAGGTTGGTACGAATTAATTAAATTACACAGTCTTTCTTTATGTTCTGCATTCGAAATATGCGATAAATCAATCTCGTTGACAGAAATAGCATTCACCAGATGTGAAAGGTAATTAAACGTCGAGCTACTTCCGCTTTCGGGACTTTTGTTTACATTAACAGAGACGCCAGACGATCGCGAAGGATCATAAACATTCTTCAATGAGACAGCAATATTCAAATTTCCCATAACGCAACGAACGTTAGAATTTCGATATGACTCAGCAGTTATCAAGTTTACATTACTTTTATTCCGATGAGAAATTATTTGAAGGCCATTCTCAGGTAAAAGAGAAGTTAAACTGACTCAATACATCCAAACCTAATACAATTTGATTACATAATGACTTAACAACATAAATTTTCGTACGCAAGTGAAAAACTATCAATTGAAAATATCAGAAATGAAAAAAAGCCGATGGGGTACGTTTGCTTTGATTCAATTCCGTTTAATGTGATATCGCTACAATTTAAATTAGGAGAACCAATCTGCTTGTGTAACTCTACGCTGCATATCGTTACATCTGAACCAGTGTCAACTAGACTATCAACTAAATGATTATTTATTTTCTACAGTCTTCATAATTCTACTATCCTTGTCACAAAATTCGTTGTAATAAAGCTGCTTGATGTGTCTCGGGGGTCTGCTCTGGACAGTTCGTTGAATAATGCCCGAACTTCTTACATTTTATACATTTTACACCCTTTGATTTGTTTACACAATGCTTTGAATAATGCCCAAATTCCTGGCAATTAAAACATTTGACCTTATTAACGTTAGATTGATTTCGGTTTGATGACGAAAGCTTACTTCTATCTTTAACTTGAGTGTCTACTTTCGGTTTCAGGATTTTTAAACTTATCATTGTCCGATCTCATTTTATCATAAATTTTAAGCCTTTGTTTAAATTCAGATATTGTTTCGCAACCATATAGTATCGTTTTCCTAACCACAGAATCGGGAATACCATCAATAACATATTTAATTAATGAAGCATCTTCAATGTTACCTCGCGAACACATTTCTTTCATTTTCAAAAAATACTCATCTAAAGATTCATTAGGCATTAATTTACGTTTACATAACATTTCATGCAACTCAGCAGAATTAAAAGCTTTACCATATTCAGATTTCAAAAGCTTTTTTAACTTACACCAGTCATTAACTTTAGGTTCACTCTGAATAAATAGTTTCGCTTTACCTTTTAATGATCTTTTAGCAAAAACTAATTTATGCAAATCACTCAATTTTAAAGAATTTATAACATCTTCAAATTCATCAATCCATTTATCAACATTTTCATATGCATTACCAGAAAAAGGATTAACAATACTTTCAATATCAGAAAAAACTAAGATGAGGTTTAAAATGATCTTGAATTGGAAGCTGCATACTGTTATTTACTTGAGACTCGTTAAAACCAGGATTGTCTCTTTGATTATCATTAAGCATTACTTCAGAAATTTTATTAATAGTTTCATCTTCAATATCACTATTTTCTTCATGCAAAATATTTTCAAATAATACAGATAAATCACATAGGTAAGAGACAATTCGGGTTACGACTTCCGTCTTTAAACCTTCTGAATTTATGCACAGTACATTGCAAATTTTAATTAACTCATTCAAAGTAAAACTATTCTGCACTGCATCTATTTTCTTATTATATTCTTCAGAATCTGGTTTAAATATAAAGCCAGAAAATTCACGTAATCTTTTCCGGTTATTTCGGTCTCCATCAGTATTAAAAATAAGCTTATGCAAACTTTTGATTTCAGAACTTTTACGGTTCTTTAAAGCTGCTTCCAATTCTGGAATTTCTACTAACTTCATATTGGAAAGAAAGTTTTGTACTCACCCGACAGATGATCGTCGTCAATTGGGTAATCCACACTTTATACGAGTAATCCAATAAATCGAATAAGTTGTGACAACAGTTCACTCAGTTCACAGTTCAAAGCACAGTTCTAGTACTCGCACATTTTGGAATTCGAGGCCGCACGGTTGGTCGCCATATTTTTTTTGTAGAATTTGACTTAATTCACAGCATGAGAGCACGAAGTAATATTTAAATGGTTTATTTAATAGAAAGAAATAAAAGTATATAAAGAAAAGTATATAAAGATGAAGTTAACGGTATGCAGGATTAACATAATGATGCAACAACAGTCCTTTTATAAACTCTTGAAGACGTGTGAGCCGTCTGCTCACGTCTGCCCTCCACTCTCGACCAGGTCTCAGCGCTGTCTGGGATGATTCTTACTGCGCTGGGTGATGCTGTACTGATGACGTCATAACGGGCAATTCTCATTCAGCATTGGACGGTATGATTTCCCACATGTATGATGAATTAAATGGAGTGAGCATGCCTATAATGAAGTAAGCTAAAGAACACTTTGAATGTGTAAATAAATTAAGGACTGTTTTTTAGCAAAGGAAAAAAAAACCCAAAATGAAAAAGAAACAGAAAAAGAAGTGTAACAATTAATTGCTGAACAGAAAAGGAAAGCTGATAAAGAAAAGAAATTTACGCTGCAAGCAGCTTGAAAACCATATACTGTCGAATTAAAAAAAGTGGAAATACAGCGAGATCAGTGCTATAACGAAAAAAGCAGTTGAAATTAGATTGGATCTGACTGTTACATTTCCATAAAGAATTACTTCATCACCATTTCAGAAGCTGCTATAGTGCAGAACTTCTGTGGATAGACTTAATGGGAGCCCTCGATTTTTATTTGCTTCTTCTAATCATTTTCGACTACGCTTAAAACGGAGGTTAAAATTTCTTTATTATATTCTTCTGTAATAAAAAGGAATTTTCCCATATAAAATTTATTCATAGAGAAAACGTTAGCGTATACTATTACTGGAATTAGAAGACCAAAATTATTTTTTCTTTAAAGGGCAAAACATATATTTACTGGTAAAGCTGAAAACTTTCTTGGCTGGCATCGATAGCAACCGATATTGGTCCAATCGTTGCAACTGCTTGTTGTAGAGCACTTTCATCCCCTGACGCTACGTCGACATATCCAGTGCAAGTAGCTCCTGAGCTGGCTTTTTTGTAATGGCAAGTTCCATCCTGCATAAAATAATAAATTTCGCAATTGTTAGAAGCTTTTACATTTCCCCCATGTGGATTTAATTTATCACCATTTAACAGAAGCGGTTATAGGTTATATTACTTATATTACTGACAGTCTTTTGCTTCTTCTAACCAATTTCAATTACGCTTAAAACTCTGGTTAAAATTTCAGAATTATACTTTTGTATGAGTAAAAGGGTTTTTCATGCGTATTATTTATTCATAGAAGAATATCAGCATATTTTATTATTGGAATTAGAAGGCCGTAATAAATCTTTAATTTACAGGAAATGTATTGATTATATACTTCCTGTCATATATTTTTCCTGTCAGGGTGGAAGTTTTATTATGACGAAAACAGCATACCGCTAAAAATACTTTAAAACCTATTATAAGGATCTCTTGGTTAACAAAAAAAAAAAAAAATGATTAAAAATGTAGTCCGTTTAAAATAAGTCATTTATTTTGGCGAAACTCTCAGAGCTTTCTACGTTAGGAAGGATGTCGTCGAGGAAGATTTCTTACAGAGAATTATTTTGCATTTATGTCACATATCGGGCAAGCCTGAAAACCGCAGTCAACTTGTTCAGTTCTGCTTATCGAAAAGACTTGCAAAGGCCATATTTTAAATGATCTTGCTTATTCTGCAATTAGTTGATTTCTCCAAATATCCAGCTGATCATGTTAAATGAATAATTTAGACTTAACTTGAATCACCTTCAACTACAACGAAGTACCAAGTTGAAAATTTCTTTTTGTTTATTTATTTTATGGAAATAATCTGTTTCTGCTTTTATATCTAGTACCATTCAATAATGTTAATATTTTAAAGAGATTTTAATTAAGTGCTTTAAGTCCATAAGCAAAGGAAGTTTATTCAGAAAATTATTAAGCTAATACTTTATTATTAAATCTAATGAAGAGAAAGTTTCTTTATTTGTAAGCAGTTATTTCAAAATAAGATACGTATTATCATTCATTCCTTGATTTGAAAATATTTCATTAAAATAAAAAAAGTTGCGTTCAAAATTTTTCTGATTGTATAGAAATAAAGTAATCGCATTTGAGATTATTAAAAATGATTTCGTTTCTGTCTTTAAATCAATGAAATTTCACCAGAATTTGATGTCATTTATTTCTTATTAGACTTCCAAATGACTGTGATATATATTAAAAACACTTGAACAACTTAATCGGAGCCATCGATTTTTATTTGAATTGGAGCAATAATTTTAAATAACTTGGTCAGCATTTGATTTTATTTAAATTTTCTTACTTGAGCAGTGTATGGATAGGATTGTTCAGTATCAATTCCCTTGTTTTTCTTTATGTATTCGAAAGCTTGGTCCATAAGTCCTCCTTCACAGCCCATGTTACCTACAAACATATGAATGCTTAATAAAACGTACAAAAGTATCTATATTCAATACAAAATGGGAAATTAACATCTTTGTTTTTACTTTTGCAACTTTATTTAACATTTTATAACAAAATGCTGTTGTTTTCAGTGACCAGCTTAACTAAAATTATTTGTAGATTCCTCACGAAGCACAGCTAAAAATCTCTGCAGTAATTTGTAAGGGCATTAACTACATATGAGTGGCATCATTTTGAATTTTGTCATCTCAAAAAAAGTTTCCTTACACACTACATAGCGCAATAAGGCTTAAAAATGTACTTAATAAAGAGAGATTAAAACTCCGAATCTTGAGAATTCGAAAAGAATGCTAACAGAAGAACGTGGAAGGAAAAAATTGGAAGGTGACTGAAAACTTTGCTGACAGACAAATACTTAAAAACTGCAAAATTTCGTAAAACACAACTAAAACAATGTGTGAGAACGGTTTCAGCACTGTTAGCGGGAAGTCTTTGGAAAGAGTCCGCGAATAGAAAAATCTTTCATATAAAGTGAAATGTTTATTACACCTAGAAAAGCCGTAGTTAGAAGAAACCGTTTTCTACCTTTAATGCTCACAGAAGTACGCTTACAAAGAGTTTTCACCAAAACATAACTAAAACGACTGAAAATTGAATAATGTATGTCATTTTATTAGCAGCTATAAACATGTTCTGTTCTGTAATCGCATCCTCAGTTAACCCTTCAAAGACTTGAATTTAAAATATTAAAGGCGTGGGAAAATGACACAAATCAGAACTTTTGCCTTTGGATGCATACAAGAATTTAACAAAAAACAAACATACAAAATGCTTTGTTTTTGATTTATTAAAAAATACTAAACATTAATTAACCAAAATTTACAAAATGAGAATTATATGTAGATGCTTTTACATTCCCATCCACAAAGTTGAGGCAATTTGCTAACCTTTTTCATCTTACGTTTAGAAATTTTGTAAATAGAATTACATGCCTAGGAAGTATGCTAGGAGTTAAGAAAATAAATCCTGCAAGCTACCGTTTTCAAACACGCTGTGTAAGTAGTCTAACACTATTTTGCCATAAAAAATTTTATAAAATTATTTAGATAATTTTATAATTCCCTGAAAGAATGTTAAAATTTATAACAAAAATATATTACTATGTCAAATTCAACAAATTAAGAATATAACAAGCATTTATATTATATTAAGCATGAGGCACATATTTCTTTCAAAAATGTCTCATGTATTATTTTATGAAGTGCATTATTAGTTAAAATTCCATAATAGAGAGAGTAGAGAGAAAAGTAGAGAGAAATATTCGCAACGTTAATTTTTAATATTTAAGCATCTGTACCTTCTGGTCCTGAGCAGTCCATAAGGTTTTGTTCACTCAGAGATACTAGTTTTCCTGTTTTCTTTTTGTGTTGCCCCTCCAGAGATCCAGTTGTAGAGAAAGCCCAACAAGAACCGCATTGGCCCTAAAAATATACCAAAATTAATGAATAACATTAATTTTCTAAGTTTGGATAATAGGTAAAAATTACTACAATATTTAATCAGAGAAACTTACTTGATTCTTAATACCAGTTACGAGTCCCTTTTGTCTCCAGTCGACCGTGTCGGGCAAATTGACATTGAAAAGTGGCACAAAAGTAGATGTTGACTTGTTAAGTCTTACTCCTTTGAATCCATTCAACGTTTTTACAAATTCTTCGTGGCTCTAAGTGAAAGCATTGAAATTAAAACTATTGTTAAATATAAATAGGGAGAACGGGATTTATGGATTAATAGATCTATTCCACAAATTAAAAAACATTAAGAAGAGGATTAAATGGTTTGAACTACTCAAAGTGCACAGAAAATGCGTTTTCTGTTCTCCTAATGCTTTTCTCTCTTTTAAATCAAAATTCAGTTAATTGTAATTATAAATGCGCTTGGTGAAGAAAACGCTACATTTTTATCAGTTTGATATCACAAATAAAATTATTTAAAAGAATTATTAAAAAATATTTCGCAAAATTTTTCAGGCTGAAATAATTTTTTATCGCTGATCTACTATCAAATGTAAAAGTTATCTTCTCGAGACAAACAGTTTTGCGAAATTTATCAGAGTATAGTCTCTCTTCAGAAGACAAACACAAAAATCAGCGTTATATTTACAAAATTTCCACAGGATTAGTTTCGATGGTTTTACCGAACCACCATCCTCAGCTGCAAAACCGCAAATGAACAAGATAGGAAAAAATGATTAGATAAGATAAGAAAGCCTGGACAAGAATAAGCAAGTGGCGCCATCTGTTGGTGAAACCAGAACTAAAACATAATTTCTTTAAAGGCCGAAGGCAAATTTGGATTGGAATTAGGATCGTTAACTCGACAGAAAGTTTTTTATGAATGTGAAATGTCTCTAGAAAATCCAGTTCTCCAATGGAAGATGTTTTTTGAATAATTTTAGCAGGAGAAAAATTGAAAGTGTGATTTTCGGACCAACAATGTTGCGCAACAGAAGACTTCTGTGTTTCCTTTTTTCTAACATATGCCTCATGTTCCTTGACGCGAAATTTTAAGGCTCTCTGAGTTTGGCCAATGTACTTGACGCAAAATTTTATAACCTTGATAAAGATTATAGCACCGTATCTTTTTTAAATGTATAAAAGTGTCATTTTAGTCTCAACAACCTAATAAGTAATTACTGAATTCTGAATTTTAACTTGAATCATAAAATATATAATGTTTCTCCGTAATTAAGAGTTGGATATATTTTCTATCATAAAACCTCTTAAAATTAATTCTTTACAAGGGAAAACTCTCGAAAGAATTTCTGTATGACAAAGATTAAATTTTTAAGGAAATAATTTTATATATCATATTTTTCTGTTTGAAAACTGTAATTATTGTAAGAGAAAATACATACTCATTTGCGTTAAAAAGTACTCTTGGAAAATTAATAAAATCAGTTTTAAGTTTAATACATAGGTAGAAATTTAATTCAAAATTATCTTCTTTATATTAGGCTTCATATTAGAATCATATTTGTTTTAAATTCACAAAAAATAAGTGTTTTGTTCATATAGGGCAAGGCGTGTCAGCATTTTCGTGAGTGTGACCCATTTCGTTTCTTACAGGTATAACATCGCAATGCACTGGTGAGCAATAAAAACATAAAATAGGTAATCTAATAACGTAAAGCATAGGTAGTCGACTCAAAAATACCCACCGATCTACCGCTCGACTAATCAGATGTCTAGTTTAATAAATTGCGACCATCAAAAAAATATATATATTAAGATTTTGCATATCTGAAAATCCATACATAACGTGTCTATATTATCAGGACTGACTAAATTATTGACCAGCAAATGAGGAATCTATTTAAAACATATTACTCAAAATATAATCATCGTAACTTAACACATTTATTACAGTACGTATGCGGCTTTTCAAAACATTCTTAATAAAACATAGTTAAGAATTAAGAATTCTTAGTCTTTGGAATAACACAAGCTAATTCTTCGATATTAATTGAATACGCTAACATCATTAAGATGAGTATCTTCCATTTTCAGCTTCAATTAAGGAAACAGGAAATAATCCGACGGGGCTAACTCTGGTAAATGAACAAGGTGATGAAACATTGCACATATCTTGATAGCTAAAATCGTATGAACAGTTACTGCAACTAAATGCATTATTATGCAGGAGCAACCTACTGATTTTGCAGGCGGGACTTTAAACTTCTTACATATAAATTCTTTAATACAGAGGAAATTTCTTTTCAGCAGCCATTATGATATATCAATCTAATTTTAAGCGAAAAATTTAAAGTTAGGCAAAAGAGTAATCTTAAAGCAAGTTTTGAGTTTTGTTCAAAATCTACATCAATCTAAGACTGTTTTTAACATCATTTTAAATATGGTATAACAATTTACTTACAAAAAATGCGCGTTTTGCATAAGCTTCAAGGGTTATTAATATTGTAGGTCATACTGTGAACTTTGCTTACGTTTCGAGTACAGTTGCCAGAGTATAATTTATAAAAAAACACTTATTTGAAGCCTGATGAATTTCATATCGAAATTATGTTGGGCTATATGAAGTAACAGTAACTGTTGAAACTATTTTCGTTTCAGAAGATACAGATAGGAAACAAACACCTAAATGTGAACCTAAATTTTCGGTTTGCTTACCAGATCAGTATATTCATTTAGCCCCTTTCTGTACGTATGAATTCCAAGGTCATATTCCAAATTGTGCCTCACAATGTCAGCGACGTGGTTTTCCCAAATGAGTCTTCTCTTGCTTTCTTCTTCCCCACTGTACTGCTTTTGGAATGCTCTCTGAAAGAGAAATTATTAGAAACTGTGAATCAAGTAATGTTATGATATCGAAAATTTAAAATCTAACAAAACATTTACTTCCTATAAACAATAATCCAGACGAATAAATAATATCTTTTTATCTATCGTCAAATGTTTATTAAAATATAAAGTTACCTAACCATCTGCAAAACTAATTATTTTAGAAGGATGTTATTGAAAAAAAAATCTGTAAAAAAATTCATTTATCAACGCATTTCATAACTGCTGAATTCGAAGATAAAATTTCAGTTTGAACTAAATGTGCAAGATTTTGTAAGCTACATCATTGAACGTATTAGAAGATAATTTTTATTTCATATCAGTCTCTTTGAATAAATATCTACTTTCAAGCAACTACGTATAAATCAAAATATATGTCAAAAGGAATTTAAGTAAGACGCCCTAAATAGCATATTAATTTCAATATCATATGTAACTTAATTAATTAAAATAAGTTTTCTTAATATGTAGGTGACAAACTGTAATTTGACTATGCCTAACGATTCAAAATATATTTGAAAACATAGAGCTTAGCTAAACGAGAATTCCGTGAGAATTTCAAATATCAATTTTACGCACGTTATTTTGCTGTGGAATATAATTATAGGATTTAGAAGTGATAAGAGGTACAACACCCCGTAGTGTTAAAGATTTTATGTCTGACTATGGCGAAAATAATCTTACAAGAGCCATTTTTAATTATACCCATTTTTTAAATTAGTTTTCTCATTTTCTTTTATATTGAAGTTATTTGGCATCCATTTCAAAGTAAATTTCAGGCATTGCATTAAACTTTGTTTTATTCAATGCAATAGTTAAACTGAGTTTTAAATCCTGCATGTAATCACAGATGTGCACTTTAAAGAAGTAAATAAAGAGAATTAAGACAAAGCATATTCTTTTCATAAAACTATGTAATATTATTTATATAATCAATATATAAAGATTATAGTATATTTATTATATAAGTTTCCGTTCATAACTGTCTTGATGTGTTTTATTAATTATCATTTTCCCTCTTAACTAAATATTAATATTAAATTTAATAATTAACTATTAATTATAATTATTAATCAATTAATTACATTTTAATTAATATCAGTATTAACTTTCATTAAAAATCAGTACTTAAATCTTTAAAAAAGAAACAGTTTGCTACGATAATATCTGTACATGTCATCGTTAATCACTCACATGTATGCAATTAATAATATCTTTTCATATATAAATCACACACACACACACAAAAGTACTCACATTTTTCTAAAAACTCATTGTTTAGATTGACTATCTAAATGAAACAGCACTCAGCGGGTTTTTCATTAATTAGGGTAATGAAAAATGGATTAACTAGGGTAATACGTGGATCTACATCCACACTTAACCCCAAATCACTATTATTTTGACAATAGTAGAAAGAAACACAGAAAAGAGAAATAACCTATATTATAATTGTTAGAAAAAAGTTAGCAAATTTCCTATGTGGTTAAGCAGTTTATTCATTTGGTTGTGTAAATTAAATTAACGTTGAAAACAAGAATAAAATTCAAAATAAAAGAAACAATATTTTTGTTCATATTACTCTTGTATTTTGACAAGGATCAACGGGAAACAGAAAACTAATTATTAACAATTTATTTTAATGAATGATTTAAGAAAATTTTTTCATTCCAGATTATACACAATTAAATTACCTTCTCTTGTAGATGAAAGCAATTCAAAAATACTGTGACATTATCTGTTATCAGTGCAGTTTTTTCATATAGTTTCTATGCCTTTTACATTTCCCGAAGCAATTTTGCTTTAGTTTTATGGTTTGTAACAGTAATTATCCCATCAAATGTGTGTGTACAAATAAATGGGATTGCATTTTATAGAAAGATGTAAAAGCTTAAGAAAGCGGTGATAGTTTCTCAAAAATATGGCTGAAGTACATGCAGCTAACTACTTCCCTTTCTATTAAAAACTAGAAAACAACCTTCGAAGGTGCGCAGTATAACAGGTATTTAAAAATACATTTACATTTTGCGATTTATTTTTTTATAAATATATTTTAATTTTTTTTTTTTTTTTGTTCCAATTGCAGGTTCTAGCCTTTTATAAGCATTGGTCACTACTAAGGCCGGAAACAGTGGACTCTTTGTTATGTAGGTAACTTGCAAATGGCCACCGTTGCCTCTTATAAAGGGACGGAAAAATTACATCCATGCCTTCTTCCAGGATTAGAACCCTGGCCCTTCGGTACCGCAGTCAGTGTCACTAATCACATTCCGTCTGGGCGGAATATATTTTTATCAATTTTTTCAGTGCATTTAACATTTTTCCTCCATCACAGTCTTTAATTTATTCTCAAATACAACTTTTATAGTATATACACTCATGTCCATAAATTAAAGATAATTCGGAGTCACGCGGAAATCGAAATCTAAAATAAATATATCACCTGTAAAATCACTACACACATCTTGAAGAATCATATGCAAATTTCAGGAAGCAACCAGATGACACCGATGGTATGTCACAATGACGAGAGTGTAAGAGAGTGATATATATGGAATACAGGCAAAGAAGTAAAATTGCTCGCAGGCGCTTTATAAGCATTTCAGTACAATAACCGAATAGTTATGACACAAAGGACGCATTTGGATGATATTTTACGTGGTAGAATTATCGGCCGTCTGGAATGTGGGCGTACCCAACTGGAAGTATCAGGCGAACTTGGAATTGCCCAGAGTGTCATCTCCAGGCTTTGGCAACGATTCCAAGATGATGGTAATGTGAGTAGACGTTACAGCACAGGTCGCCACAGAGTTACAAAGCCGAATGAGGACCGGTATTTGGCAGTTACTGCCAAAAGAACAGGCGGAGCACAGCCTCAGACCTGTCTCCTGAGCTCTCTTCAGCCACTGGTACGACAATTTCAAGGCAGACCGTGTATAGACGCTTAGGGCAGATTGGTTTATATGCTCGTAGACCTGTCAGATGCGTTCCACTTACTGCAACTCACTGTCGCCTGCGGTTAGCCTGGAGTAGAGAGCATGCATTGTGGACACCGCAACAGTGGGCTTGTGTAATGTTTTCCGACGAGTCCAGGTTTAACTTGCAGTCTGATTCTCGCCGGACTTTCATATGGAGAGCTCCAGGTACTCGTTGCCACCAAGAAAACATCATTGAACGACACCGTTACGGTGGTGCAATTATTCTGGGTTCCAGGACTGACCTGCATGTTCAAATTGGAACCATGACAAGCCAAATCTTTCGGGACGTCATTCTGGAACAACATGTTACGTTATGTTTCGGGGCGCCATGGACGCACAATTTGTGTTTATGGATGACGGCCGTCCTCACTGTGTAAACATCGTAAGCGAATGCCTTCAATTGGACGATATCACCCGTATGGACTGGCCAGCATTCTCACCGTACTTGAATCCAATGGAGCACGTGTGGGGTTATGCTTGGTCGACGAGTTGCAGCCCGTCAACCTCCTCCTACATGTCTACCGGAACTTCGGAGAGCATTGCTTTTTGAGTGGTGTAATATCCCCCAAGATCAGATCGATAATTTGATACTCAGCATTCCTAGGCGTTGTACGGACTGTATTGCATCGTCTGGGATACATACAATGTATTAACAATCATACCAACCATGTAATATTGGTTTTTTGTAAGTAGTTGTTTTTTGTAATTTGCTCCAGGGAGAAAAAATAGCTAATTTTTTTAATAATATCAAACATATAGCATCTTTTTTTGCTCTTTACCTTTTGTTTAATAAATAAGCTTTACAAATAAGTCAAAATTGTTTTGCTTCTAACTCTTCCTTTGCCTGATTTTGCATTATCCTTAATTTATGGACATGAGTGTAGTATTAAGATATTTGACATACAGGTTGCAAAAATTTATATATCTTTCAGCTAAGTCACTGAAGAGGATATGCACAAAATTCATGGTTTATTTAGAAATATTTTAATTTTTTAAACCTTTTACTATTTAACATATATGAAAGTATATAAGTACAAAAATTTTACTTTGAAGTTCTGCCAGTGAACATCCAAGTCTGGGTCAAAAGGTGAAGCCTTAACTCCATATAGAACGACGATTGCTACAACAGCAATATAAGAAATGGGAACTGCCATCTGGAAAGATTTATTAAATTGATCTGGTCAAAATTTTATATTAATAACATAGATAAGAATTGTCATATTACTACTCTTGAACATTTAGATTAAAACATTATAGGTTAGTGCAAATTTATGAAATTTCATTTAGAACATTCTCTGGTTACTAAAGAATAAATTTCTTTATGTTTCACATGTAGATAGAAGCCCGATTTCAAGTTGAGCATTATTTAAAGTAAATGATTTTAATTTTTCTCTGGGATTCTTCAAAAAGTGTAAAAAATATCCACATTACATTTTTCACACGGTTTATTTGTATCATGTGATTAGTCCGTATTTTGGAAATGTTGAAATATTTTCATCAGTCGACGCATATTGAACAGTAAGAAGAATTGAATCTACCAACATTTTTATGCTGAAAGCATAGTGAAAATGTAAAACCATAAGTGAACTTTATTTTGGTGATTTTTATTCAATTATCAGTGTTAATTTATCAATATAAGTTTGTAGAATCATTAGGCTTTTTTGAAGGCGAAGATGATACAGTGCCTTCGCCGGGACTCGAATCCTGGACCTCTCTCTAATACGCGTCGAGTATGCTTCCGATTACACGACGAAAGCATGCGGAAAGAAGGTAGTAAATATCTTATAACTTATTAAAAATAAATAAAATATACTATAACAGTATTAATTGTAATAACATATATGTAAGAACTCTCAGATTGTTGTAATTTAAACATGTAAGGAGAAGTGAACATGACAGCCGAGTAGTATGTAGAGTTGCGCGCCTCCAACCTGCACGCAACCAAGAGGTGACTGTTGAAACTGGAAAAATAGACAGAGTCTTGCTAAGGGTTTAAGTCCCTTTTTATTCAATTTAAGAAGTTACAATTGCGTGCTCTTGACGCTCACAAACTACGCCGACCCGGCGGTAAAATAAAAATAAGACTCTGAAAAGAAATAATAACAAGACTCTAACTACGAGGCTCTCTAAAAGTAACTAACCTCACCGCGTTTTACAATACCGCTGCTAATTCAGCAAACTTTGAATATCACGTTGAACGATTAACAATTCTCCAAGGCAAGCACACAGGCCGAAACGCGGGGTTCTTCAATTTCTGGCTAACTACCTCCGCGCTCGTGAAGTAAGAACAGCACACCTTGAACTCGTTTCCTTTCTATTTAACAGAATACTTCCGCTGAAAATTTGAATCCTTGCGCGTTCTACTAAAATTTACATACTCTGGCATTGGCAGTTCCAGGGGAAAGTAAGGCTTGACAGGAAAGATAGTTTAAACTTAAAATAAATGTTAGTTAAAATAAATATAAACCCTACAAGTAAAGTCGCTGAACACTGGTAGTTCGATCCGAGGTAACTAAATTAAAATAGAATTAAAAAAAATATTAAAATATATTTCTTAAATCGAAAAAAATAAAAAAATTAATTTTAAAAAATAATAATAATTAAAATAAATAAATTTACTTTTAGACATAGCTGGGCTTTTTTTTTTATAAAAAACATTTACAAAAAAAAAAAACTAAATACGCAATTTTTAAACTGCGTATTTATTTTTTGCAGTGGAGTATTTTACTAAAATTATTCAAACAGGAATTATATGATTTAATATAGAGAATTACAGTATTTAAAAAGAATAAAAGTCAGCTTACTTTAACAAAATTGGGAACTGAGAAATCCAAGAAAATATGTCGTTGAAGTCCTTAGAAAGGTTGTTGAATGGTTATGCGTTAGAAAATATTGTGTCGTTATATAGTGTTGCAGTCATAAACAATGTTTGATAACAATTATTTTTAATCATGTTATTATCATTAGATAATAATAAATCATACGAGATGGAATTTAGAAACAAATCGATATCTCTGATTTAGAACCCCGAAATGCATGATACATCAAATTATTATCATGATCCTATGAAACAGTTTCTCTTTTTTTTTTTGCTTTTAATGTCACCCTCATACCGGTTGGGGGCTCAAAATATCTTTTATCTCTGGGCACTTTGTTCCACAATTCAATGAAGAGCATTAACATTTTTGCGATTAAATGGAGTCCAGAATTTATTTTTTATATCTGCTGCGCATCACATTCATTGTTTGAATATTTGTCAATTTTGCTTTCTAAACGAGTTAGTTTCAAATTATAAACTTGATTTTAAGCAATTGTTGGAAATTTTTTATTTTATTGTCTCAAATAAAAAAACAAAGTATATCAAATTTTGATTTTTTACATAAAAAATAGCATTTACAGCAAATTATGATACATATGCTATCGCTTCGATAACATTCTTTTTGATATTTTAATTATTAAATGCGTGTTATAAATAAATTTTAAAGCGTTTGTTTACTTTCCTAGTATTATTTATTAAAACTTCTTTTTTTAAAAAAAATTTTAAATACATATGTTTTATAAAAGCTGCAGAAGCTTACTTTGCAACTTGAAGGAAGATAATTTTGAATTTAAAAGGGAACAATAATATTATTCAGGTCTTTTATAATTGTTAATGATTGATATGTACTCAGAGTACTCATTCTAAAATGTTTGGTCTCCTAAGTTACATTTTGTTATCATTCATATAACGGCAATTTTGTCACTGATCTGAACGAAACTTAGGATCTTAATGTATCCCATGAGACTACATATACAGTTAGCTCTGACAGTGTTATCATTCAGCGAAGTTCAAATTCTATAATTTATTTTTCAACTTAAATCATTTTATAATTTCAAAACAATTTTAAAATGAATAGATGCATTTAAAGAAAAAAATACAATTTATTTGAGATTATCATTCCGCTCTTCAGCTTTTTTTCTCTAAGGTGTATTGAAATAAGCAAATCCTTTAATTTGTACAATAAATGCGTCAATAAATATGAAAAGTAATAACTTTAGGTCTGTAGTCATCTGAAAGATCTCTTCATTTAATAAAAAGAGCTGTACAGCTTTCTTTCTTCAGTTGACCTTTTAAAGATCCAGTACTGAGGAGGGTAAAACTCGACAAGATTCGTACTGGCCTTGAATTTAAATAATTTAAAAATATTTAAGGATAAACGCTTTTGGCAGTTCTAAGCGGATAAACTTTCGGAGCTCATAATGTTTAATGATCTTTTTAACGCGCTAAATCTTATCTAGTTTTTAATACTTATTTCAGGGCATGTTTCTTCTAGTCTACCTCGTGCGGCAGATCTGTATTAAAAGAGATATAAAAGCAGTAGGTGATTTGTTCAGTTTTTCTCTTTTGAATACATTCGAAATTTTAACAAATTCTTTATGGATCTACATATGAGAAACAAAATACATTTTATGATTTTTAATATTTGAAATAAAATAATTGGCTAGGAAAAAAATGTTTTTTCCCCCCCACCAAAATTTGGCTTGAAAAATCCAATCATATTAAGCTGCGAGAATCTTTATAATGCATTTCACATGAAACATTTATATTTCTTCTGGTTCTTCTGAAGTTCAAAGTAGTTCACATGAAAAGCCTAGATATTTAATAATAATCTCAAGTAAAATAAAAATTATTTGCTTGTATAAATAAATAATCAATTTGCAAACAGCATTTATTCTAAAGTTATTATAATACATACCTTAAAAGGCAAAACATTTTATTTAATAAAATGATGTTTGTACATTTTGTTATTATAACATTCCTGGATAAATTATCAGTATATCGCATTTTTTATTAATATATTTTTATGCTTGTCGCAGTAAAAGAGGGAGAAATGTATATGCAATATCTACATTTATTTTAAATTTCGGACTGAAGCTGAAATTTTTAAGAATTTAATTTGAGTTATAAATATTCAATAGCACAGACTGTGAACAATTTTCCAGATGGACAGTCTTGTACATATACTGACGTAAAAACTTAAAGGAACATCTATAAAAGGGTGCTGTATGCTAATCCTATTCAGTGAAGTTCAATGAAAGGTGGCTGGTAGCTCAGGGCCAGCGTTTTATCCAATGGGATAAATCTTTGCTATACAGAAATTTGCAAATTTTTCGTTCGTTCTTTCTGCACTGTGTAGAAACGAGTGAAGGGGGATGCTTCAAAGAAAAGATGTCAAAATGGAAGGTGAAACACGTCATTGAGAAGTCATTTGACGGATTGGGAGAATGGGAGCAGGAGTGACATTGGAGCAAACCTGCGAAGATCTAAATGTAACTGAAAACTTCACGTCAAGAATTCGGAAACCATTCGGAGACAGTCGATATGCATGTCGGTAATCAGATTAATGTCAAAAATATGCCAAACAGGCTCCCAGATCCGATATTTTATAACGATTGCTACAAAAGTATCCACCTGACGTCAGCCAAGCCAAGATTGGCTGACGTCAGTTGCAATTTATAAGATACAATTTTTACATAGTAAATTAAAATTACTGAGTGTGCCGTTCCCCTTGTTCCTGTTTAGTTGATTAATTATGTATAATACTATCTACCCAAAATTAAAAAAAAATCGTGTTCATGGTGTACACAAATGCCTTTTTGATTTAAAAACTTTTCCAATAAGAAAATTTTCCCATTATCACTTTTATAAGGCCATTACTAAAATTAAAGGTTTATTATGATTTTGGTCTCTATTATAATTTCTCCTTTCCGTATTCCTTACCAGAATGCAGTATCTATACTGAGGTGTTTGGACTTTTTGGGTAGTGTAACTGAATAATTATAATTGCTTCATATGTAACGATAACCGTATTCGGCCTTCATATGCCTTCCAGCAATTTTGAGAAATACTAAAAATATCTCGGCGGCGCGGTGAAAACTGCATACGACCGGAGAGAGCATCGGCTCACAGTAGTTGTAAGTAGTTGTTAGCTATTTAGTTTAGAGTAAGTTCGGAGTATTGAGATATCTCTGTCTGAGCTACTTCTTTAGATGCGCTTTCCATTGCGTTGTTTATCGTTCTAAGTAGCTTGAACTCTAACTACTATTGATTCTATGATACTGTGAAGAGTTGTACGACTATTTTATGGAAAGTTCCAGAATTGTTAAGTTCTTTTGGTGACATGGAAAGTTCCTGAACGGAAAGTTCTTTTATGGAAAGTTCAGAACTGTTCAGTTCTTTTCGTATAATAAATTTTATCAGCCTGTCATCGGACCTGTGTGCATTCAATCTATTACGAACTCTTACTTGCGCAACAGTAATATTTAACAGTGTAGTCTTTGACTGCTGTTCCTCGCTCAATTTAAATTTGTCTGTTCTATTTAGTTCCATTACCACGAGCTGTGACTGATATTGCTGCGTTTAAATAAAAAGGTTATTTGGACTTTCTCACGACGTTTTAGTTTCTTCATGCATAGCGATAATTCTCTTCTTGTATTTAAAGGTTGTAGGATTTATTTAACATTAACAGATCAAGTAAAGCCTTACAATTTTTTCCTGCGTTATTAAATTACGTGTATATATATGTCTAAATATTAAATCTATGTTAATTTCAGAATCAATCGGAATAATACAAATAGCATTATAATATATATTGAATTGGTTTCGTGCGACGTCAGACATAAGATGAATTTCAATTCGAATCAGGACAAGTACGAGTTAATATGTGCGTTTGTTTTGTTTCTTTCATTGCTAAAGCACGTCTTTCATTGCGATTTTGTATATCGGTGAATTAGATTGGTAAAAATAAAAGCTAGAAACTATTTTATCCATGTTGTTATTCCAAATGGTTAAAATGCGGTTTAGCCCACTGCTTGGCGATTGTTTTTCAATGGGCAATAAACGCGCCAACATGGCTAACCCGATGTTTTGAAGCTGTGTTGTTGTTCTGTTGCCACTAAATGTTATCGCTCTGTGTTATATTTAAAGAAATTAAAAATTGAAAAATCTGCATAAATGTTTCTCGCATTGTGTTAAAACAACTGTACCCAGAGCCATCAAATTTTGAATAATATACGTTTCCAACCTAATATGGGCATCTGGAAGCCCAAACTTGGAATTTTTTTTATTATCTGATTGATATTTTGTAAAACTTGAACGAATTTTTGATTAGCAAACTGAAAGATTTCAAAGCGAGCAACGGCAACACAGAACGAAAAAAAAAAAAAAAAAAAAAAAAAAAAAAAAAAAAAAACAGTTACGTGCAGAGCGCAAAACTGTGTATCGGAAATTCTAAAGATATGCTCATTTTAAAATTATTTTGCTGTTGAACTGAATTTTATGGTTTAAGTGTAAAGAACATGATATTTGATAAAGAAAGGTAACACACAAAACGTTAAAAAAAAAAGCCCCTTTGGGCGTAATTGTAAAATCTAAAAGCTTTCATTTTTTTAAAAATTTTTAATTTTTACTTGTTAATTCTGTTGCGGTTTGAATGTTCTTATGTGGTGATTCTTTTTTTAATCGAGTGTTTTTTCCCCCTGTGAGTTTTAGCCTTTTTCTGCATATATTACGGAAACGGCGTATAAAACGTTAGTAAATTTATTTACAGATGAGGGTGGATCCAGAAGGGTTTCCCCCTGAGATAAATTCATATATGAAAACCCTCAAAAAGACTTTACATTTTTCTTGAAAAGGGTACGTGAAAAAATTTTTCTTGTATGGTTTGTTTTAAAGTTGCTTATTTTTAATATTTTGTATTTCTTTTTGGCTCAATCCTAGAAGATTGGAAAAGCTGACGTTGTGCAGTTCTCTGATGTTTTCTTAATGAAAATAGATCGATATGTACATGGGCAAAGCCAATGCAGTGCGCAATGCCGACGTTGTGCGCGATGCCGAGTTTGTGCAATTCTGGGAAATTTTTTTAAATGAAAATAAATCGATGTGCACATGGGCAAAGCCAATGTGGTGCGCAA